GTTCTCAGATGACGGAGAGGATAACGATACCTCTACCTCGGGCCAGGGTCTGGAGTACCCTTCTAGGATGCCCGAGCATTATCTTGGACCCCTTCGTAGGGGGTTTAACATTCCGAATGACATCCTCCTTAGGATTCCGGAGGAAGGGGAAAGAGCTGACAATCCTCCAGAGAGATGGGTCACTTTTTATTTGAAAATGTTTGAGTACGGCCTCAGACTTCCTCTTCATCCCTTTGCTCAGGAGTTCTTAAACCGAACTGGACTGGCTCCTGCTCAAGTGGCCCCCAATGGGTGGGGTGTCATTTTTGCTTTAGCCATTCTTTTTTGGTTGCGAGCTCGGGATGAGGACGAGGCCGGGCTGCTAAGTGTAGATCAGCTCCTTGGGTGTTTTGAGGCTAAGAGGATAGCCAAAAAACCAGGTCGGTACTATATGTGTGCGAGGAAAGGCGCATGTGGCATAGTCAAGGGGCCGACCTCCATCAAAGGATGGGTAGGAAAGTGGTTCTTTGCCTCGGGAGAGTGGCTGGCAAAGGATGAGTCAGGTCGTCCCTTCTTTGACGTGCCTGCTAGGTTTGAGAACCTAGGTATGGAGTCTTTCTTGTTTTTCTTTTTTCTTTCAGCTTCTTGATATTCGCATTTAACTCGCACCTTTTGTTTACTTGTGCAGTATCGATCAAGCCGATTCCCGAGCTCAATCAAGCCACTTTTGACACCCTCAAGTACTACAAGTACAACTTCCCCAAGGGCAGGAAGATCGGAACCTTGGTCACCGACAAGCTTCTCTTGGAGTCGGGGCTTCTTAACTACAACCCTCTAGTTCGACCAATCGAAGCTTCAAGGCCAAACTCCAAGCTCGGTAAGTTATGTTCGATCTCAATCTCAATTTTAGCTTCAAGTTTTTTACTTCTAACATTTCTTCTTATTCGTACTGCAGCCATGGTGTGTGGATTCACGAGCAGCGTGAAACGCAAGTCTAAGGGCCGTGCTCACGCCCTTAAGACAGTCTAAAACTCTGACCCAGTTACTCCTGCTGTGGATCAGAGTGCAGCTCAGGACCAGGCGGGTCCATCTTCTGCAGCTCCAACTCCGGTGATTGAGTTGGATTCTACCGGGGAGCGATCCAGGGAGAAGCGCTCGAGGAGCGAGTCCGAGGTCTTGGACATGGGCTTCTGGGCCTAACGGCACCCCAGGTCCTGCATCCTGGTGGACAAATATGTCAGAGATCTGGACTCTGACTACTCCGACCTAGATGAAGATGAGGTCCCAAGTCAGGAACCTACTGAGGTCGGCACCACTCAAGAAGGAGTCCCTTCTCAGCAGGACGGATCTCAAGAGGTCAACCTTCTGGGGTCCTAGGGCGAGCTATCCTCCCACCTCGGAAGTGGCTGAGGCTCTATTTTCTTCAATCTTTATATATATATATATATATATATATTTGTAAGTCTTTGGGCAGAGCTGCAAGGTATATAAGCCTTGGCTCTGTCCTTTTAGTCAATGAAACTTCCATTGCTCCATTTCTGTCTGTTCTTCTTCTGCTCTTCCCTTCAAGAATCTTTTTAAACTTGCTTGTATAAATAGGAACTTATGAAGGAACAGATTCATCTCGCACCTCCAACTTAAAGGATCGCACCTCTAACTTAACTTTGGGCTAAGCTTCAAGAGAACTCTTTTCACATCGTACCTCTTACCTAAGGTTTGAATTTGAGAGTTTCTTTTATTAATCTTTAATATTTCTCCTCGAACTCGGAAGTCCGAAAGAACACTAAGCAATTGGAACTTTCTACATCGCACCTTTAACTTGTACGTTCAAAGGGTTGAATTTTGTGTCCATAGTTAATATTCACACCTCGAACCCGTAGGTTTAGAGGGTTGAATTTCTTGAACCTTCAACATCGCACCTTTAACTTAAGCGTTCGAATGATTGAATTTCGGTTCGTAATTGATTTTGACATCGCACCTCGAACCCGTGGGTTTTGAGGTTGCCGATTTTAAGCCTTGCGGGAGTCCGTAGCCCCCATTTAATTTCTAATCGAACTCGGAGTTATGAAATTAAATAACCCCACTTATTGAAAGTTCCGCCCCTTGAAAATTTTTACAAGCCCCTTTTAGGACTATTTTGACATTTCAGGGGTAATAGCGCTTCAAGTGCTCCGCGTTCCATGGATGCGCAAGCATTTTTCCCTCCAGATCGACCAGCATATAAGTTCCAGGTCGAATGTGCCAACATGACTCTGAATTTTCCTTAAGACCAAATGTCCAACTTGGAAGCTTCGAGGTCGAACTCGGGCATTGTAATGTCTGGCCATTCTGTTCTGATACTCTGCTAAGCGTAGTTGAGCCGTTTCCCTTTTCCCTTCCAACAAGTCCAGGTTAAGGAGCAGCTCTTCTTCGTTCTTTGTTGGCTCGTACTGTTCTACCTTCTCTGTTGGTGTGCCGATCTCGACTGGTACAACAGCTTCGGAACCAAAGGCTAGCGAGAACGGAGTTTCGCCAGTTGACTCCCTTGGGGTAGTTCGATATGACCACAGAACTTCAGGTAGCTTCTCGGCCCATCTTCCCTTTCTGGAGTCCAACCTTAGCTTGAGTCCTCACTTTATGATCTTGTTTACTGCTTCAACCTGCCCATTCGCTTTTGGATGCGCAGGGGACGAACTGAGGTGGCTTATACCCAGTTTTCTGCAAAAGTCCTTGAACTTTGCATTGTCAAACTGTTTTTCGTTGTTCGTCACAATAGCATTAGGTATGCCAAAGCGGCACACGATGTTTGTCCATATGAACGACGTGACCCTGGACTCTGTGATGTGGGATAGTGCCTCGGCTTCGACCCACTTTGTTTGTCCTTTGCCAAGAGGACAAGGACCTATGATGTCTACCCCCCATTGCGCAAATGGCCATGGGGCCGAGATGAGGGTGAGCAGTTCGGGAGGTTGATGAATAATGCTTGCGAAACACTGGCAGTTGTCACAAGCTTTCACAAACTGCTTTGCATCCTGCTCGAAACTAGGCCAATAGTACCCTTGTCGAACCACTTTGGCCGACAACGACCTGGCGCCAGAGTGGTTTCCACACACCCCTTCATGAACTTCCCTAAGAATGTAAAGGCCTTCTTCGGGAGTCACATACTTGAGGAGGGGCAGAGAGAAGCCACGTCGGTACAACATTCCTTCTCGGAGCGTGAACCGATCCGCTCTTCGCGCCATCTTCTTTTGCTCCTTCGGATCTTGCGGTGGGTTTCCTTTGATGAACTCCACGATTGGGTCCATCCAAGTGGGTGATGGAGTATCAACCTCCATCACATCTGGCTCCAAGATTGAAGGAGTGTCCAAGATCTCGACCGGGACCGATCTAGCCAGGTCGATCTCGTACGCTGATGCCAATTTAGCTAAGGCATCCGCATTAGAGTTTTCAGATCTTGGAACTTGACTTACCTCGTAAGTCCCGAAATGAGCGAGGTACAATCTGACCTTGCTTAGATACTTTTCCATTCGGGGGTCCTTTGTTTGGTACTCCTCCTTAATCTGATTCACGATTAGCTGGGAGTCACTGAAGACCTTAATGTGACTGGCCCCCAGTCCTTTGGCAACGCGCAGGCCTGCTAGGAGTGCTTCGTACTCGGCCTCATTATTTGACGTCCGAAAGTTGAACTGCAGAGCATATTCGAATCGCTCACCTCCTGGTGCGAGCAAGAGGATTCCTACCTCGCACCCCCTCTCGTTAGAAGATCCATCAACGAAGATCGTCCACGGGAGGTCGGAATTGACCGACTGAGGTGGTGGAGTGAGCTCTGCGATAAAATCGGCTACTGCTTGCCTTTTCATCGCAGTTCTGTGCTCGAACTGGATGTCGTACTCGCTCAATTCCAATGCCCACTTCATCAGACGCCCTGATGTTTCAGCCTTAAGGAAGATATTCTTCAGGGGCAAGTTTGTAAGTACTACGACCGTGTGCGCTTGGAAGTACGGCCTAAGTCTTC